AAACACGGCAGATGACGTCATTAGTTAATGTATAAGCAATAGTGACGTCACAGTTTTATGCGTTCTTTTTCACATATATTAATGCTTTTCCGGTTGCATAAATAATACTGTTTCTCTACATTCGAATACGCCTTTAATTTTTATTTTTCTTCTTTAACTAAAATTGTGGTTATACATTTAAAACATCTAACATATTATTTTCAACAAAAGTCCGTAAAAAGTTCTTCATATATCGCTGCCGATTCTGACGTGATGTCCGGCGAAAATATTTTGCGGACAGACAGAGAGAGAGAGAGAGAGAGAGAGAGAGAGATGTGCGAACGTGGGGATTTATATATTAGGATTGTATTCTAAGTATGTGTTGGAAGGTGTAATGTTATGTGTGTTGTATTCTGAGTATGTGTGTTGAATGGTGTGGGTAACGTTGTGTGTTGTGTACTATAGAGGGTTGTTGTGTTTTCAACAGTATGTTTGGAGGTGTGTGGAATGAAGTTTCTGTTTCGATAAATATGTATATTTGTTGAATATGGTACACAAACTACGTGAGTTGTCCACTGTGTACAATGTATGAGCATGTGTATTGTGTAAGAAGTTGCATGTTAAGCGCTGCGTTTTATTTTAGATGAGCCTATTTCTCATACAATATACCAGATCTTCTGATACATTCGTATCGTGGGGGCTTTGAGTGAGGGTTGGGTTAGAGTTATAAGTGTTTGCTTAGGGTTTGAGTAAAGGGATCGGTTAGAGTTAGCCTGTACTATATATTTTTGCTTAGGTGTTGTGTATATTATCACGAGTTAGATTAGTGTAAGAGCTAGCTGTTAAAACACTTTCACCAAAAACACAATATTAACAAAATATAGACTTGGCTTACAAAAAGTAGCATTTTAATCCTTTCTGCTTCAAGCTGCACATTATGCAAGGGTAGTAGTTATGGTTAGCCAAATTCTGGATTAAAATTCGTTTACACAACCGACTAAGATTATCTATATCAATGCTTCGCGGGCTGGATATTCTTGATTAGGACCAAGGGCCTATTACTTTTGTCAAGCAGAGATGGGTTAAAATTTGAAACGTTCAGCCAATCAAAATAATATTAATGCATGCTTGTTGTCTAGCTGTAGTTGTTGATCAAACTCGCACAAAAAATAACTCGGTCTGATAAATGTATGAGTGACAAGTATATTTGTTACAAGGGACTGACAAGTTTATAGGTGTCAAGTGTTGTTGTATACTGACAAGTATTTTTATGCATGCATGACAGTGACAAGTCTATGTTCGATTTAAGATAACTGATCGAAAGTTGTTTTTTTTCCCCAGAAAATAAAGCACTACATCACACATACGTGTTGGTTTGTATTTCATGTTTGGTGTGTATTAGTACTACTCGTGGGGGTGGGGGAGGGGAGGAAGTGACGGGCGGGTAATTAAGGGTCGGGGTAGGTTGGGGGGGGGGGGTCGGTTTTCGGTGTTTGAATGAACCAGAAATACTTCAAGATCTGAATCTGCACCAACACTAAACAAAACAGCAACGCTTAAAGCCGAATCTCAGTATATCTTAAACACGTTATACAAACAGCTTTAATGTTAGGTGATGCCAAGCTGTATATCGGAAGTTTCAGGTTTGGATTCCGGGTTCGAATCCGTAGGATGCCCATTGAGTCCAACCCAGCACTGATGAGTACCTGAATATGTTATGGAAAGCAAGGTCAAGGAATATGAACACTACACCCTGGTCGAAAACGTATCGATATTCTTGATACAACTAGTTTGAAATGGCCGATCAGCTTTAGACACGGTTCAATACTGCGATAGAGTGGGCGTGGCCTAACTGGCACGTCATCAACGCTAGTATCATAGAAAGCTCAAATACAGAAATACGGTAAGTTCGTGTTGGTTGCAGTCTATGGGAGATAACCACTTTAAAACTAAGCTGGTTATAAAACAAGCCGTAGTTATTCCCCTTACACTTATCATGAACGGTAACAAATAATATTTACAAAATAATATAAATAATAAAGCATCTATAAAACTCTTATAATAACACACTTTTAAATGCACTTAAAAAATATAAACAATTAAAAACAAACCTTTTCTTTTTTAGCAATAATAATTATTCCATTGGTTAATAAAATACACAAACTTTAATTTAATTTAAACACGTTAAAGATTTAAGTGACTTATTTTTTTTCCATAATGCATTTTAGCTTACATTAATGCATTTGAGTGTCATCTTTATATTTATTATATTTTTTTAAACTTACAAATAGTAAGTCAATATTTAAGCTTTAAATCAATGTGTTCCTTTAACCGTACTTTAACGGTTAAAGGAACACATTGACTTTAACCGTATTTTTATTAAGTTGGCACCGGAATCAACTAGTGTGTAGCTTTCTTAAGATTAAAAAAAAAGATTAATCCACCAATTGTTAACGTCTATAGTAGGGTATAAGATATAAAATCATTCGTGAACACCAGTTTACCTTCGTCGCCAGGCTGATTGATTGATTGATTGGTTGGTTGATTGATTGATTGATTGATTGGTTGATTGATTGATTGATTGATTGGTTGATTGATTGATTGATGCTACTTTAGCCAGATTACTTTAATCATTATTTAGTTATTGAATATAGTCATCTACACATTTTGTAAAGACAAATTTAATGTATATATTATAGTCAACTACACATTTTTTTGTGACTAATTTAATGTCTATACAGTCATCAACACATTTTGTATCGACTCATTTAATGTCTATTTAGTCAACTACACATTTTGTAATGACTAATTCAATGTCTAATTAGTTGGATACATTGATACTTTTGCATTTTTATAGATTATTTTATATGGAAATGTGTCTAAACCGAGTTACAAAATGTGATTGCAAACCCACGCTCCAACAGGCATAGTGAGAGAACATCAGCCGCCTACCATTGTGACCTTAGTAAAGGCTTGTGAAATAGCAGTAGCCGGCTAAATTTAACCAAGCATCCGCTTTTGTTTGCCTATAACTATCCTACAGATATCAATACTTTAGCATGTTTATTAAACAAAAACAAAGACCAAATAGACATGTATAGAACTTACTTTATGTAAGTCATTAGTACATTGAAACAAATGTATCCCAATCAAGAATAATTTATACATTTGAAACATGGATACTGTAAAGAATATTGCTTCGTATATTCACATTCATTATATATATATATATATATATATATATATATATATATATATATATATATTGACTAATAAGATCGATAATCATGAACACATTATGTTTTGTATACAGGAATATAACATGATATTTATAACATAGTATTTATAAAATGCAGAAAGCAAATTAAATAATATATAGATTAGCGGAGTTGTATAACAAGACTGTATATAGTACAGGGCAGCATTTAGCAAAATAAAATCGGATTTCTTGAGAGTTTGCGATAAACCATACACCATAATTATAATAGCAGCTATAGAGGGAGTAAAAAAATACATTCACTGGAAATAATCTATTTGATGTGTATAAGTATTATAATTTACGCTGAAATTCTTTCTATTTTGTCATCGTTCTGACTAGTAATATTGGCTGGGATTTCTTACAATACAATTAAGTATCAACATGCTAATTGCTATTTGGGACGATAAGACTTGGGTCACATGACATACACTATTCTTATTATTGGTCAAGTAAATCCATTATATCACTTACGAGCCGACACGCGGCATATCATACACCGCTATTTAGTTGTTTTATTTTCTACTTTTCAGTCATTCATAATTTGTGAATTCGACAGTACCAACGCTGCCACTGAAAATATTTGCTTTAAAACACTATCAGTAGGTCGTTAAGGACGATACTACCCCCACCCTCCTTTCCCCCAACCCCTTCCCTACACCCCCTTCCCGTGAAAGCAGCCTCCCTTAGTTACCTCCCCTAAGTTGAAAATCGTTTCAAACTAAAGTATCTGCCCCTTATAGCCGCAACTAAACCCGGCTCTACGTATGTAAACATTTAGCGTGAACCACAGCTCACCAGACCATGTAGGGGTGGGGTGGTAGGGAGCGCGCTTACAGCTTGTTTTCTAGCGTCTCCCAGAAGAGAATTATATATATAGATGCTCAATAAGATTTTTAAAAAAGAGGTTTTCAAAAAGAAAAATATTTTTGGTTGCCATGGTTACGTCCGCTATATCAGGCTGGGTTGTTGTCCTAATCCGCCCGAGGGACAGTACTTGGGACTTTTGGGTTTAGCAGCATTGAGCTTTACCGTCCCGACAAGGTCAACCCCTTCAGGGGTCTCCAAACTTTTCAGTCCGAGGGCCGCATTAACTATCAAATTTTAGTTCGGGGGCCAGGTTCTTCCAGGCATGTCTTTGATTTTTCTGGGCAAAATTCCTCAGCCATCACCAACAAACGTTTTTTCTGTGGACAAAAAGATCTCCGCGGGCCGGATCAGAGGACATCGAGGGCCGCATCCGGCCCGCGGGCCGTAGTTTGGAGACCCCTGCTTTAACTAAACATCTAGTTTTAAACGATGTTTTAATTATTTTTTTAAAGTTTATATTACTGGTGAAAAATACACAATCACATAAAATACCTTTTGGATAAAATTCACTAGACTGATCACTAGTAAAAAATATTGATTGGATGCATCTAATAGAAGGATGGCCTGTTGCGCTCATGTAAAGCAATTCTAAAAATACTGGATGACCCAATTTTTTTAGATTCTACAACAAATATGTTCTCAATCAAACGTCTTAATCTCAACATGTGTATGTTAGTTATATTTTATCTCACCGGATATACATGTAAACACATGTATATATATATTTATACAATACCATAAACTTAGCAGATGTAATACTAGCAAATAAAAGTAACATGGATTATACATTGCACATAGTCGCCAAAACAACAATCGTAATTCATCCACTCTTTTAAACAGTAAGTCACGTATGTTTCAAGTTTCAAACGCAGGCCTACACTTGTACAGTGTGTAGCTACACACGGATTATGATAATCTCCCTGTCAACAAAACTGACAGGGCGTATTAAAGATACCTGCAGGGGATTAATGGGTTTTAGTTGGATTAATGAGCCATCGCTAATTCATTTTTTTATCAGTTGTCTACATCATTAGCAAAATAAATCAAAATTACAGTTATACATACACAATAAATTGTACATAATGACACACATTGTTTTACTAAATTACATCTCAATTGAAGTTTGACTTCAGCGCACGTTAAACATTTGTATTGGTAAATTATTACCCAAACGGTCTATATATAGTGGTGTATGCGAAGTGCTCCTTACTATATAATGGTGATGGCAGTGTTTCATATATAATCGTTATTCAGATGCGTATGCAAAGTGCTCCCTAAATGATCTTTATATAACGGTATTACTCTCTATATAATCGTTATATACTAGTGCATGCGTTATATAGTTGTGTTGGCGAAGTGAACGGAATGAAGTGGTCGGATGATAAAGTCTCCAGATTGCACCGTGAAAGGTTCGGGGTCCCTTACCGGATGTACTTTATTATTCCTCTGTACACCGTTGCTCAGGTCTGTAAAACTGGTCGACTCTGATCTCGAACTGACCATCGAGTCTGAATCAGGTCCATTCAGACCCACAGCATCTATCGTGTTGTGTTTATATTGTACCTCCCGCTTTGAGATCAACTTTGGTGAGTCTGTGTCTTCAAGACTACACCCGTCAAACGCGAAGTTCTTCTCAAGGTCATGTAGATTTATAGGCGACATCTTGACGAAGACGTCTTTGCCTTTTTCAATATTTTGAGTTGTGACGTCTTTACGGGTAATAGCAGGGGAGTGAGTCGAGAAAATTCTGTCCCTGCTAGAGTTATTCGCCCCTTTGTGTTTACATTTATGCCGCTTCTTTCCTATAAGTCTCGGCGCGCCGCAGATTTTACAAGGAGAAAACAGGTTTTCGTTTATTGTTGACATAAATCGGGTTAAAGGTTTTTCCGACGGAGGGTCCGATGTTGATTTGTGAAAGTCTGCGTGCTTGTCTACCCATTGTCCAGTTTTCATGTCGTAGTTACTGCTGAATTCGCCAAGTGCCGTATTGGGTAGGAGTTTGTTCTTTTGGGTTGGGCCATCTTTGGCGTTGTGTGTTAGTTGTTTGACGTTTAGAGTAGATATCCCGTCTGCTGTTGTTGTTTGACTCTCTGGGAATGACGTACGGGTAGGATGAGAACCAGGTTCTTGTAGAAGGTCAAGGAATCCGTCGATTGGAATACCGGACTCTAGAGTCTGGGAAACGGAGCGCGCGCCTGAGTAGATCTCGCGGTAGTACCGCGCGCTACGAGATCTCTTCGGTCCAGGGCTGGTGTGGCCGTTTTTGTTTTTGTTGACGATGGAGGAGCGCAGGTACGGGATCAAGGTGCTGCCGATGTTGTCCTTCACCTTGCCGTTTTGGGTGATGTCTGCCAGGATGTCGGTGTGGACCCCGCTGTCGTCTGAACGTTTGGCGCGCTTTTCTCGGACAGACGGCTCCTCGTCCAGTAGCCAGTACGTCTGGAGTTCACCTTTTCCCTGTGAGTAGTTTCAAAACTTTAATAGAGATCAGGCGTAACAATTTAGCTTTAAACATTCAGGTCAATATAGTTGACTACATAAGACAAACATTATAGCAATGTAATTTTAGGATGTGGAGAGATAAAAATACTACCTCATCTACGCAATCTTCTTTACAAAACTGTATTTCTCGCTCCAAATATACGTCTCTATGTAGCTCATTTTCTCTTTCATACAATCTCACTCTCTTTTTCATTCTCACTGACTCATTTTGACTTTCTTTCTCGCTTTCCTTATTATTTTTACTTGTTTTATTAACAATCCCAATCTCTCTTTATTTCTTTTTATTTCTTTGTCACATTCTTGAAGTAACTATCTTACTCTCTATCTCACAAGTGTTTTAGAGTCTCCTCATTCATTGTCATGTCATTTGTTTTTTGTCGACCCTTCAATAGCTTGTATAAAGCAGTACCACCCTACCAAATTCTAGCGCAACAGACATCCCACACACCATAAACCACATGCTACTCTGGCCAACATTGTTACCTTCATGGCCACTAGGCCACGTTCCACCAACGTGTACCCTCCCAGCTCGTCTAGAAGCTTCTTACAGCTGGGACTCACGTGGATCTTCAGAGCTGTGGACACAAGGTAGGTTTTAGTTTTCACAGGTACGAGAGGTAGAAGGTAGGTTTTAGTTTTCACACGTAGACTATTGGTACAACTGTTAGAAATTAGATTTTAGACTGCTGAAGAGACGGAATAGAAACTGTTCAAGTAGCATTTTTAATTAATTGAAAATGAAACCACAGTTATTTTGCGAATACTTATCTTCTGGAAATGTATAGTTTGTATACAGTTTAAATTCACTCGAAAGCTTAACTACATAATTATGGTGTTTCAAATTTGGAGATTTTAAAATAATATGAAGTTTGTCGGTCAAGATGGTGCATGGATCAGCCTAGTGCGCATGCCGACAAAGTGTGTATGTCTGTCAGGGGCTCATGTAGGTGGAATACACATGCCATATTAGTGCACATGCCAGTCAAGGGAGCATATCATGTTAGTCCGCATATCATCTTAGTGCGCATATCTTGATGGTGCACATATCATGATAGTGCGCATATCATCTTAGTGCACATATCTTGATGGTGCACATATCATGTTAGTCCGCATATCATCTTAGTGCGCATATCTTGATGATGCACATATCATGATAGTGCGCATATCATCTTAGTGCGCATATCATGTTAGTCCGCATATCATCTTAGTGCACATATCTTGATGGTGCACATATCATGATAGTGCGCATATCATCTTAGTGCGCATATCTTGATGGTGCACATATCATGATAGTGCGCATACCATCTTAGTGCGCATATCATCTTAGTGCGCATATCATCTTAGTGCGCATATCATCTTAGTGCGCATACAAGCAACTATGAACACAACTGCTAAATCTTGTACCCACCTTCACCGTTAGACTCCATCCTGGAGGCTGTGTTGACTGTGTCACCAAACAAACAATACCTGGGCATGGTCTGCCCCACCACCCCCGCCACACATGATCCTAAAGGAAACAAAGGTATATTCATTACACCTTAGTGTTGTGTACGCCATTACAAGTTACCAGTGTGTCACCTCAGCACACAAAAACAACTGATACCTAAACAAAGTCACCACACATCACCACTATTACACCACAATTTACCACAATCTATGTTAAACTCTCCATATCTCCACAACTCACCCCTATTTCTAACACCTCACCATAACTCACAACTGTATCGCCACAAATCGCATCATCTCACCACCGTATCACCACTCCTCACTCCTATGTCACCACAACTCACCCCTAATATTAACACCTCACCATAAGTCATCATTGTGTCACCACACCTCACTACTGTACCACCACAACTCACAACTGTGTCACCACAATTCACCATTGTATCACCACAACTCACCACTGTGTCACCACACTTTACCATTGTATCACCACATCTAACCACTGTATCACCACTACGTCACCACAACTCATCACTGTATCACCACAACTAACCACACAACACCCCTACGTCACCACACCTCACCATTGTCTCACCACACCTCACCATTGTCTCACCACACCTCACCATTGTCTCACCACACCTCACCATTGTCTCACCACACCTCACCATTGTCTCACCACAACTCACCATTGTCTCACCACACCTCACCCCTACGTCACCACACCTCACCATTGTCTCACCACACCTCACCCCCACGTCACCACACCTCACCATTGTCTCACCACACCTCACCCCTACGTCACCACACCTCACCATTGTCTCACCACACCTCACCATTGTCTCACCACACCTCACCACTGTATGACCACACCTCACCACTGTATCACCACACCTCACCACTGTATCACCACACCTCACCACTGTATCACCACACTCACGATTGTATCACCACAACTCACCACTGTATCACCACATCTCACCACTGTATCACCACACCTCACCACCGTATCACCACAAATCACCACTGTGTCACCACAACTCATCACTGTATCATCACACCTCACCAATGTATCACCAAACCTCACCACTGTATCACCTCAACTCACCACTGTATCACCACACCTCACCTCACCATTGTATCACCACAAATCACCACTGTGTCACCACACCTCACCAGTGTATCAACACTATGTCACCACACCTCACCACTGTCTCACCACAATTCACCACTGTATCACCACACCTCACCACTGTATCACAACACCTCAACATTGTATCACCACACCTCACCACTGTATCACCACACCTCACCATTGTCTCACCACAACTCACCACTGTATCACCACAACTCACCACTTTGTCAACACAACTCACCACTGTATCACCACACCTCACCACTGTATCACCACACCTCACCACTGTATCACCACACCTCACCACTGTATCACCGCACCTCACCATTGTATCACCACAACTCACCACACCTCACCATTGTATCACCACTATGTCACCACACCTCACCACTGTATCACCACACCTCACCATTGTCTCACCACACATCACCACTATGTTACCACACCACTGTGTCACCACAACTCACCACTGTATCACCACACCTCACGATTGTATCACCACAACTCACCCCTATATCACCACACCTCACCACACCTCACCACTGTATCACCACACCTCACCACTGTATCACAACAACTCACCACTATGTATACCAATCCTCAGCTTAAGCACATCATCAGGCCTGTGTCTGATCTGGAACTGTTTGATGGCGGTCAGCAGATGGAGCGACATGGACGCTATCTCCCCCGCATGCTGGATGCCGTTCTTCTTGGGCAGACCACTGACCACCATGTACGCATCCCCGATGGTCTCCACCTTGTACACATCGTAGTCCTTGATGATCCGGTCAAACAGTGTGTACAGGTCATTCAATAGGTCAACAATCTGGGTAGGTAAAGGGAGTCTGATGTCAAAATTAACGGAAACTGGAATGGTATGGATTTAACACAAGGTTATCAAGAATAGCTAGAACATGCTTACGTGAAGCTGTGCTTGGTAAACGAAAAAGAGGTAGGGAAAGGAATAACAACAAGACTTTTCATACAATAAAATGTACGAGTTTAATCATGAGAAAGAGTGGGACTGAGGATGGGGATGGACAGAGTGGAAAAAAGGAAGATTGACGTCCCACTGCTAAACTAATGGCGGAAGTTCTAAACAAATGTTGTGATTTGTTTACTGATTATGAAACTGATCTCGGTCAGATGAGGCTCGTTAGCTGGGAGTAGCCACTCTTCTAGGAGAGACAACTCCAAAATCAAACGACTGCTGCCTTGTAGTTTGTTCTTGGTTGGACAAAGGCTATGGAAGCAAATCCAAAAAATGGCCTCAATGGTGCTTAACAAGTTGACACGTATACTTAATTGGGTTGGTGGGGATCCCTTCCAAAGCTAAAAATTAAGAACGAAGAAGAAAAAGATGAAACTGATGCTACTGTGGTTTTCAGGAAATTCAATAACTATGCGCGTGGTCTGAATAGATATCAAGTCATGCAGATAATGAATACTTTAAGAATGCAGTAGAGGTTTCATCGCTTGAGTGGCATCCCAATGGAAGGCGAGAGGGCACCTAAGACAGACCTGAAGGAGGAGTCTTCTTGAGGAACTGAAGACAGCAGGGATGTCTTGGGAGATTGCAAAATTAGCAGCCGGAGACAGGAGGAATGAGAATGTTATGGTTGAGGCCATACGCTTCACAATGGGTAAAGACAATAAAGTAAAAATAAAAGACATCTGAGTTAAAATGAACACAAATTAACTTTACATGTTACACATTTTCTATTTAACAAGCAGAATACCTATGCTCCGCTACTGATTAAAAACTGTAAAGATAGTTCTTCTAAGTAAATGTCAGCGATAGGTAAGTCGAATAGCAACAGTTTTCCCCTGAAAGCATAATCAAGGATGTCGTGCTACTTTTAAAGGCTCAATGTAGACGACAGATGGAAATTGGTAATACAATTGTAAGGACAATGAGGTCTCGTTATAAAGATGCTATGTAGGTTGTCAGTTTGTATTGTGTATTACTGTTAAATATTAAGATCCCCAATCAAGTCGAATGGACTGCAAATGAACCTACATGTCACTGACGTTAAATATCAGTAGTCTACCTGAGTGCTCTTAAATGACATATAACTGACATGTACAGAAGGAATGCTGATATAATATGTCACTGACGTTGACATACCTGTAAGGGCGTGCTCTCAGATGACATGGCAGTGAAGCCACAAATGTCACTGAAGTAGATGGTGACACTGTCAAATGCCTCAGGAACGACAGGCTGACCACGGACCAGCTGGGCGGCGACGCTCCTGAGTACAAAATAAACAAGACCGTTGTATCTGCTATTGTGCTGATGATAGCAAAGACGACTATACAAACAATATAACGTAAAGCTAAAGAAATCTCTTCACAAAATTAGGAGGTCTTCTTAAGGTTGAATCTTATACAGTATAATTTTAATAATAAAAGAAAAAACGTCCAATCTTTAAATGGAGGAAGAGTATCTATATGGTTTGGAAACAACAGAAGCGATGACTGGACCTAACGTATAATCAAACCACCACTGAACTAAGACTAGATCGAACATACTACCAAACCACCACTGAACTAAGACTAGATCGAACATACTACCAAACTACCACTGAACTAAGACTAGATCGAACATACTACCAAACCACCACTGAACTAAGACTAGATCGAACATACTACCAAACCACCACTGAACTAAGACTAGATCGAACATACTACCAAACCACCACTGAACTAAGACTAGATCGAACATACTACCAAACCACCACTGAACTAAGACTAGATCGAACATACTACCAAACTACCACTGAACTAAGACTAGATCGAACATACTACCAAACCACCACTGAACTAAGACTAGATCGAACATACTACCAAACCACCACTGAACTAAGACTAGATCGAACATAGTACCAAACCACCACTGAACTAAGACTAGATCGAACATACTACCAAACCACCACTGAACTAAGACTAGATCGAACATACTACCAAACCACCACTGAACTAAGACTAGATCGAACATACTACCAAACCACCACTGAACTAAGACTAGATCGAACATACTACCAAACCACCACTGAACTAAGACTAGATCGAACATACTACCAAACCACCACTGAACTAAGACTAGATCGAACATACTACCAAATCACGACTATAATAAGACTAGACCAACCATAAAACCAAACCACCACTGAACTAAGACTAGACCTAACATAAAACCAAACAACGACTGAACTAAGACTAGACCTAACGCAATATCAAACAACAGACTACACAAAGACAGTACTCACGAAGGCAACATCCGGTGCAGCAGAGTCTCCGTTTTCTTCTTCTCCTCGTGTAGTTCCACCGTCCTTTCAGCCACCACAGACTCCAGGTTGTTGGCGTACTTCTCCATCAGCAGCATCATGTTGTCGAAGATGTTGGACTTCCTGGAATACAAGGGGTCAATCATGGAACATATGAGGTCAACATGGAACATATGAGGTCAACATGGAACACGAGGTAAACATGGAACACGAGGTCAAACATGGGACACAAGATGTCTATCATTAGAGGTCAAAACACCATATGTTGGACTTACTGGAATATATGAGGTCTACACACGTTTTTATGATACAAATTACTTGTAGTCGACTAATTATTTTGAGTGTCTGTGTGTGTGTGTGTCTGTATGTGTGTGTGTTGTGTTTTTTCTAATGTGTGTATGTTAGCAAATATACTTTAGAACTCTCACCAGATTTGAAAGAAAGGTGTTTTGGAAAAACAAGAAAACATGAATGCCCGAAGTTCCAACACTATTTAGAGACTGTGACAGTTGGTGCCTCAGTCCAGTGGCATAGCGAGGTCGGGTGTCACCCGGTGCGGTACTTAATGGTGTCACCCCCCAGAGGCGTAGCGACCCTTCCCGGAGACAAACTTTTAATTTTCGATTTGCACCCCCCTCAATTTTTTTCTCTATTCATTTTGCTATTTTTTGCCTTGGTGTGACCCCCCTAAATGGTGTCACCCGGTGCGGTCCGCCCCCCTCCGGCCCCCCTCTCCCCTCGCTACGCCTATGACTCAGCCAACTATAAATTACCGAGTGAGCTCTAGTTCATTACTTACATTCCCTTCTGCATGGACTTGAGGGCTTTCCGGCAAGTTTTAAAATCTGGCCGAACTTCCGGGTTCTCGTCCCAGCACTGTGTCAAGGTCAACAGGACGTCACTCTCACAGTTGAGTTCGGAGATACTTGGTCGGAACGGTATGCCGTCCGCCGGCCCTTCTTTGATCCGTTCTACGATTTCTATAAATAGAACAGTTCGTTTTGTAAACAGTAGCAGCCTCTAATGAGTATACCACACCGCCATAAAAAGCGGCGTCACTCATTCCCAAAATTTTGGTGAGTCGAAACCTTCACATTGTTTTGTCAGTATTTAATAATTTATTGTATTGCTGTGCATTTTTTTCCTATTTTTTCATAACCCTAGCAAAAATGCAAGTGAAATATCGTTGGTGGGGTTTATTATATAATAGCTTTTGATAATTTGCCAATAAATTATTGTATTTAAACTACAGAGTCTGAGACTAAGCGAACAATATTTATGAAATATTTGAGGATACTTAAAAAGAAAACAAAGGGATACGAATGTTCTGTAGAGATGTAAAGATAGGCAAATTAATGTCAGATGTTTATTGGATGTACGCTCTCTATTGGAAGATGTTATCGTGGGTTGATAATATCATAAGAGCCGTGTATACATATATATATATATATATATATATATATATATATATATATATATATATATATATATATATATATATATATATATATTATTTTTTCCGCCTCAGGCATGTAATTTACGTTGCCAGTTTGCCTTATATGTTCGCTTTAGTATTACCTCATCATCGGCTTGTGAGGACTGATACAGATTTACAATAATAATACTGCTTTCTTACATGTAGCCTACATTCATTGATTTAAGATGGTTTACTTATACATAGATCTAATACAAAAATTCTAATTACAATTTTATTTTTAATAATCTGAAAATGCAAATTAAATGATGGTTCAATGGATTTTTTTTTCCATCGGTGTGGTGGGCTGAGGGGGGAGGGGGTAGAGCTAAAACAAAGTAGGGATTACAGAGAATTAAAATGATACAAATTTTAAGCAACCGGACCAGTTATGTTGATTACAATTGGACACATAAAATCAACCATTCTTCCCTTTCAAACATCTATATCTATAGCAGTCCTCCCTAGGTTTTTCAAATTAATTAATTAAACATTTAATTTAGTAATAATAATTTATTTGGTGGTTTTACACAGCTTCAAAGACATGAACATCAATTGTATATATAGTAATTAAATGGAGAAAAATAAAATGGCATAAGAACTAAACTAAAATTAGGTGTGCAAATTCGGTTTCTCTTGACTGCTTAGTTTACTGTGCTCCGTCCTTAGCTGCGGAGTCAAAGGTTCACATTGTAGTCACCCATGGACAGAAACGGATGGGACCGTGGGATGAGGGTCTCTGGAATGATCTATCATTCCAAAATTTTCCATGACTCAAAATTGACCCCTGGCGATGAGGTACGCTGCCCACGATTTATCCGCCAGTCCGGTTGGGTGGGGGGAAGTGTGGACATAAGAATCGTGTATATAAAACAGCGGGAATAGGCATACTGCGAAATTATGACGCATCGTAGTAAATGAAGTAACATTGATTAATTTAACTTTTTTTATTTAATGCATCTAATGCCGTTTTGAAAGTAATATTAAAATCATAAAATGTTTTCACAATATAACAAAGTATGAAAATAGCAAATTATCTCAAAACGTTATTAATGATACTATTTAGGAGATAGCTAACTTTTGCAATATTTTAATGTCGGTATATATCTGTGATTTTAACTTCTGTTGTGAATAAAGTGCAATTTGCTTCCCTTAGTTAATTCAAATTTACATATGGGAAGTAAGTACCTGAAATCAATATTAAATTTGGAAGTTTTATTTTGCAATATTTGATTTTGCATTTATTAAACTTTTGTGTCTAGCATTGACTTTTGAATATGATATTTATATGTATAGAGTATACATTTAAATATATCTCCATATATGAATATTGTACGTTCCATTATGTGTATGCGTGCATTTTTAGCAATAGTCAACAACAGCGAATAGCTTTTTTTTTTTTAAATCGCCGAGAAACACGACATTTTTATATGGAAATAATGAAAATCGATACTATATTAATTTATGTTAGAGCACAGGCGGTTATAGTTACAGTTAGCCATGACTCGGGAAAAGGTGATGCATCGGGTTGAATTATTGTTGATATCGATATAAAACAATGTCAACTAAAATGTACAACTATGATGGGTTACTATTTGATATAGCGTAAAGAAAACGTAGAACTAAAAGGAGTTACTCTTTGGTGTAACATAAGGCCAATGTAAAACCATAATGGGTTACCTTTTGGTGTCAGGTGACAATCACCATAGCAACCGTTCCTGTTGAGTATCTCATACAGCACAATACCGAAAGAGTACACGTCCCCTTTCTGCGTGCCGCCCAGCGGGGGTTTCTCCATGCGGAGTAACTCAGGAGCAGTCCATAGAAATCCTGAGACGAAAGAAAAACATCAGGAATAATTTTTCCTGCACAGCTAGTACATTGTCATAGTCTACATTTGTAACATACTCATACAACATAAGCATACAATTTAATACTTTCATATCATCAGCTTTTCCCGTTCGGAGTTCATCTGCTTCAGATACCTCGGCGTATGAAGGTAAAGTGTGGTCAGCAGTATATACTAAAGTATATTCATACTATAATATATTATAGTATGTGCATATTATAACATACTATAGTATATTCATACTGTAATACACTATAGTATATTCATCCTATAATACACTATAGTATATTCATACTATAATATACTATGGTATATTCATACTATAATGCACTATATTATTTTCATACTATAATACACTATAGTATGCTAAACCAAAGTGGTTCGAGCTTAATTTAACTGAGGTACAACTGAAAAGTGGTTCCATTAATTTTTTGTGGTACTTCAGCAAAGTGGTTAATGTTTAAATTGACGAGGTACCACAGCACATTGGTTCCAGTTAAAATGGCACTCACGTTTATAATTAGCATGCTCTCCGTGGTACGGGAGCTCTTGTTTGGCCTTGAACTTGTTGAGGCCAAAGTCCGATATCTTGACCACCCAGCGACTGTCGACTAGGCAGTTGGAGGACTTGAGGTTGCCATGGGAGACGACGGTGCTGTGTATGTAGATCATACCCTGGGTTAGAAACATAGTTGTGGTCAACTAAAACACAATGTGTATGTAGATCATACCCTGGGTTAGAAACATAGCTGTGGTCAACTAAAACACAATGTGTATGTAGATCATACCCTGGGTTAGAAACATAGTTGTGGTCAACTAAAACACAATGTGTATGTAGATCATACCCTGGGTTAGAAACATAGTTGTGGTCAACTAAAACACAATGTGTATGTAGATCATACCCTGGGTTAGAAACATAGTTGTGGTCAACTAAAACACAATGTGTATGTAGATCATACCCTGGGTTAGAAACATAGTTGTGGTCAACTAAAACACAATGTGTATGTAGATCATACCCTGGGTTAGAAACATAGTTGTGGTCAACTAAAACACAATGTGTATGTAGATCATACCCTGGGTTTGAAACATAGTTGTGGTCAACTAAAACACAATGTGTATGTAGATCATACCCTGGGTTAGAAACATAGTTGTGGTCAACTAAAACACAATGTGTATGTAGATCATACCCTGGGTTAGAAACATAGTTGTGGTCAACTAAAACACAATGTGTATGTAGATCATACCCTGGGTTAGAAACATAGTTGTGGTCAACTAAAACACAATGTGTATGTAGATCATACCCTGGGTTAGAAACATAGTTGTGGTCAACTAAAACACAATGTGTATGTAGATCATACCCTGGGTTAGAAACATAGTTATGGTCAACTGAAACACAATGTGTATGTAGATCATACCCTGGGTTAGAAACATAGTTGTGGTCAACTAAAACACAATGTGTATGTAGATCATACCCTGGGTTAGAAACATAGTTGTGGTCAACTAAAACACAATGTGTATGTAGATCATACCCTGGGTTAGAAACATAGTTGTGGTCAACTAAAACACAATGTGTATGTAGATCATACCCTGGGTTAGAAACATAGTTGTGGTCAACTAAAACACAATGTGTATGTAGATCATACCCTGGGTTAGAAACATAGTTGTGGTCAACTAAAACACAATGTGTATGTAGATCATACCCTGGGTTAGAAACATAGTTGTGGTCAACTAAAACACAATGTTCGGGGGTGTAAGGCGTAGAAGGTGAGACGTAGTACGGGGGAAGGAGGGTGAGGGGACAGAGAACGTAGGGCGAGGGGCGTAAAACATGGTACATATGACGTAGTAAGAGTGATGTGGGACGCTATACTAGATACTTAGGACGAGATACTTAGGATGAGGGACAGAACGTATGACGAGGGACGTAGAATGAGAGACGTAGGATGAGGGACGTAGGATGAGGGACGTTGGATGAGGGACGTAGGATGAGGAACGTAAAATGTACATGACACATGTCAACGATGGTCTACATGACGAAATACCCGTGTACACAAACACTAGACAGACAAAACTAGAGACCCACCTTCAGTATATCGGATACAATGGACGCTATGAACATGTCAACAATGTGTACATTACAAAATACTCGTGTACACTAACACTGTAGGCCTACAGACAAAACTAGAGACCCACCTTCAGTATATCCGATACAATTGACGCTATGAACATGTGATCAATGGTGTACATGACAAATTACCTATGTACACAAAACACTAGACAGACAAAACTAGAGACCCACCTTCAGTATATCCGATACAATGGACGCTATGAACATGTCATCCAGCTTGAGATCGCTGTTCTCTAAGATATCCTGGAATCAAAGCAAATATTTCAATACACTGAGTAGAATATGTTTACGTGAGCCGTGGTTGATTCCCACCTAGTAAACTATACTTTAGCGGATATATAAGGTGTATGTATTTCATGGTATTAAACACTTGATCAGATACACAAAAAAAACATATTTTAAAATTTATGTTTTTAGACTTGATCTTCAATAGGGCAGATAGTTTTTTTTTATATTTGATTTACGTATGTGCAACCGATGGTACACTTCAGTATATCATTTAAATTGTATCTGCTTTAGAGATGTCGGTGTGTGATGGTACTTTGTTGTCAGTGTCGTTACTTTCCCTAACTCGAAACAGGTACTTATTAGAGCTGGGTGAGCTCAAGTAGTCCAAAAGTATCAGTCCGAAGAACAGAACTCACATCTATCGGATGAGCACTTGTGTGCTCTATCACTCAACCACACCACTCCAAAAGATCTGACCACAAGACTCACTTTCAGACTACCTTTGGTGCGGTACTTGTGTGTTCTATCATTCAACCACACGACTCACCTCGAGACTACCTTTAGTGCAGTACTTGTGAGTTCTATCACTCAACCACTCCACTGACTAGAAGACTCACCTCTAGACTACCTTTAGTGCAGTACTCTGTGACGATATGGACCAGACCAGGCTCCACCGTGACCCCCACAAACTGGACAATGTTGTCGTGACGTAGATCTCTCATCTTAATGGTGGTAGGTGGACATTACATTAGCATGGACAACTCTCTCAACATTGGTTTCATTAAGCCATATATTGGTTGCAGATTGTAATTGCTATTTCAAATATACTGTTATATAGATAGAAGTGACTTTTTACTGTGTTTTTTAAAACAAAACAGACTTAGTACTAATTAGTATAATTAGTTTAAATTGTATAAACTATGCATTGTTTAGTGTACGGTGTTAGAGCTACAGTAACAATGTGTTTATTATGACATGTTTAAAATGTGTTTTACTGTGACAAGCTGAACTTAAGAGTAAATGTATTGTTTAAATAACAGTGTAAGTCCTACCATCTTCAGCTCCAGCTTGATGTCCCTTGATGTCGTGTCAATATTTTTCTTCTTGATGGGTTTCATGGCGACCAGGGTGCCCTTGTACACCCCCATCTTTGTAAACCTCTGCTCCTGCTCGGGGCTGATGCTTATACAGCCGCTGTTCTGGGGCTGTAGGAAAGATAAGACAAGCTGTGTTGGGAATTGTGGGGTTTAATCTGTTACGGTACTTAGAGATACATGTGTTTGAGACATACAGAAAAGTTTCCGTATACGGACATTAACGGAACGTTTGCCCATGTCCTCAAACACACTGCATATGGCAACATATAAGAAACAATATACTAAGCCTTCTACTATCAATTACAGAACTTGTCCCCGAACATACACAATATGCCTCTACAAATACATGCGTGTCCCCTCAAAACTTGTTCCCACACATACATAATTTGTTCCCACACATACATAATTTGTTCCCACACATACATAATTTGTTCCCACACATACATAATTTGTTCCCACACATACAGAACCTGTCCCCAAACATAAAGAACGTGTTCTCACATATACATATGTCTCCTTACATATAGAACGTGTCCTCCCACAAACAGAACTTGTCCACACACACATATATCTTGTCCCCACACAAAAGAAGTCTACAAATACCTAGCTTACCAGCATCCATCTACGACCCCACAATACATCACTAAACATGCAGAGCAATTTCCCTTACATACTCATAACTTGTCCCCGTATATAAGGAACATATCCTCATACACACACACACATAGATCATGTTCCCACACGGCAACAAATCCAAAATGTGACCTACCCCTATAGAACTAAGGATGGACAAAGCTGAAATGGCCACGTCGGGTTGGAGTTGTATATCCTTCATGTCAATCTTCCAGAGTAAACTGGCTAACTCCTGCTCATAACGCCAGTTCCTGGACAAAAATACAATCACATTAGTAATATAGACCAGTAGTAGACATTGCACGTTATTAAGATTGAACGTGGGCCGGCGCGGCCTATGCGGTTGAGTACACGACTGCTAACTCATGGGTATCGAGTTCGAATCAAAGTTCTAGTTAGTAGAACGTCTCTGAGTCCATCCAGCTCTGATGGGTACCCAACTCACGTTAGGGAAAGTAAAGGCGGCTGGGTATAATGCTGATCACACTCTCTTCACATGATCTCTTCGTATGCCGAGGTAACTGAAACAGGTGAACTCTACTGCACTTGCATCATGGACCGTCAGATTCGAAAAGGGAACTTTACTTAAGGTTGACCACTAGCACATATAATCGTTGGTTCTATCTTAAAGATGTTCTGTAGTAAAGCTTAAATAAGTTTACCTGTTTAATTACATTTTAATAATTTGAACCTTGACTAAACCTATATCTTAACCTTCTATCTCAAAATAGTTCTCATTATTAACGCATCACCTTTACGTATTCGAGTCTATCCCTTCCCCATACTACACTCAAACCTTGAACCTAACCCTGACCATAGCTCATACTCTAATCCTTACCATAAACAAAACAATACTGGATAAAAAACAACACGACTAACGCACATTGACAACTTACAACCCTAATCGCAACACGTAGTAGCACACACAATACTAATCGATGGTGTTGGGATTGATTGTAAATCAGTACTACATTCCAATTCTAGTATTAAGGTCGGTTTCAGTAGGCTACTTAAAACTAGATACAATCTGAAATTTTTATTCTACTTTGAGCTATAAACAGATATGGGATTAAAGTGTCCGTGTCGTAACCTTGAGGGCTAGCTTACACGATTTACTTAAACATCAACAAACAGCTTTTTTAAAATTAATTAACTAAACGACGTAGGTGGTATGTTACGCATGGGAGATCACACTCAACAGAAAAGCATTAATAGCTTCTCTCCCTTTGTTGTAGAAAGCCGTTTTGTTTTGAACCGATGCATCCGGTTTCACTTGTATTTCTATTTTGTGTTCAATGCCACATTATGCTAATCGGGGTTTGCTATTTTTAGCTGCATATTTTTTATAAGCATTTTTCATTTGAGTTATAATTGGCCGAAAAGTACACAAGCATGCTTGCTAGCTTTTGGCTCTACGCAAATCTGGAAAGCCGGCGCTTTTATCACACATAGCCGGAAAGTCAGAAAAAGACGGATTTCAGGTAGCCGGAAAACCGGCTTGTTATATATTTAGAAAGACGGCTTACCCACTTGACCGGAAAGTCGTCCCCCACTCATAAAATGGACATCTCTGAAAAAGCCGGAAAACCGGCTACCCCCACACTTTAAGAAAGGCGACACCCTACACATCTAGACAGCCGGCTGATTAAGCTACAAAAACCAAGACATTTCGAACCTCCTCTTCACTCACGCAACTAGGTACTACCCCTGAGCCACCCAGATACCCCAGCCCTCTCACCTGGCTATTCAACCTGTTTTCCACACAGGTTTTTTTTTCGTCTTTTGGCCAAACTCCAATCCTCAGCCACCCTCACCGACCCCCACATCACCAATCTTTCTCCGGACATTGAATCCACCCTAAATAAACCCCCCACCCATTATATCGACCATACCCAAATTCTATTTAAAAAAACAGAGCTGTTTACCTAACAAGCGACTAAACTCCAGAATATTTTTTTTTTAATTCCAAACACACAAAAAATAAATAAAAAATAAAAAAATAAAATAAAATCCCATTAAGCCTTAGATTTGCTTGAACCTGAAAACATTTTATTGACAGGCGCTTGGTGTACTCAATTATAAACAAAAAATAGTTTCCTTGACCTGATCTGACCTCTACTTTTCTTTTTAGTTCACTAATTAAATAATATAAAGTAGAACATAGAAACATGAGTGACCCTAGTTCATTGACCAATCATTTTAAATCTCGGTCAAAGTGAGATGTGACAAACACAAGAACGCATGTACATCCGTATGGTCATGTTGATTACCATGACTACAACTTAACAACCAAGCTAAAGTTAGGTACTTAGTCAAAAATAAAATAAGTTTCTAGAACGGAAAAAGACATGGTCTAAAATCTGAAAAAGTTGATTTTACGAGGTGAAAAAAAATATCTTAGGGATAATTAGATATTTAGAGTTAAGAAAATGTTTCTCTAATGACCTCCGCTTGCTTTTATATTTTTACACTAGTGACCAAGTGGAATTTTGGGGAAAATAATTATTTCAAGACACAAAATAAATATTTAAATATCAAAGTTTATAAAAGTGAACATGTATAATAGATAGCCTTTTTTTTCTTTCAATAATGAAAATAATGAGCCAATGTGTGTTGATGTGTGTGAGTTATTTTTCTTAAACTTTATTTGCTTGTGCATGGGTATATGTAAGTGTATGCATCTGTTGTACCTTTGCGAATTCATACCTTTAGGCTTATATGTCTTCCTGAGTTTGTAATATGTTTATGTGTTAGGTAGAGTGAAGGAAGACTGCGGTAATTAAAAAAACTGTACCTAAAATTTAAAAAAATCTATTTAAAATTGTCCCAGTTTCTTTATAAAATCAAGTAATGTCGAAGCTCTTTTGTGATAACAATGCACTATGCAGATGTTGCGAAAATACATAGCATGAAGAAAAAGAGAAGTACGTATTACATCTAATTATTCAGGCTTATGAATCATTGTAATGAATAATTAATGACCGACACTATGGCACATGATAATTATTAATGTAATGTGATGTCACCGTCGTATTTATACAGTCCATGTGTTGAGTTAAAATAAAACGACGGTAAAAAGGAATGCTTTATTGGTCTGTTGTGATAATATACTTTTTCATTGGCGACCATGGAATGGGGGTAATAACTCCAGCAGTTTATGGTCTGAATTTGGAGGGGGGGGGAGTGAAAAATAAACGCTCTTGTAGCCCCTATTAAACAGGGTTATGGAACGGCATGGCCTTGACTTAGAGCGCTAGACTTATAACCTGAAAGTCTCGGGTTCGAATCCGGGTTAAAGTCAGTCTCTGAATCCACCCAGCTCTAAGGGGTACTTAACTGTTGTTATGGAAAGTAAAGGCGGCTGGGCATAGTGCTGACCACAATGCCGAGGTCAAGAAACATGTGAACTCTACTTCGTCTGCCCAATAGACCGTTAGTTCTAAAGAGGTTTATTTTCTTTATATAAAACACACTCCGAACTTCTATATCTAGCAGTGGTCCCCTAAACACCAAAGTTTTAGCAGTGGGCCCCCTAAACACCAAAAATCTATATCTAGCAATGGGCCCCCTAAACACCGAAAAATATATACCTAGCAATGGGCCCCCTAAACACACTCCAAACTTCTATATCTAGCAGTGGTGCCCCTAAACACCAAACTTCTATATCTAGCAGTGGGGCCCCTGACAACACAGATTCCGGAAATCACATCCATTTCACATATCACACTGACATGTCACGCACTAGAAGACAACCGTCAAAGATAATTAATTATTCACGGCGCGTGATGCTGCAGACGTCAATGTAATTAATGCACGACGACATTTTTTTTATATCTGGGCTTACAGATACAACTTAGGAAAAAAAATGTCTTAGAATATACCAGAACTAATTCAATAATTCATATGACATTGTATGTTTTCTTTAGATGTGTCGGTTTAAATAACAACGTTTGGCCGCGTGGAAAGAAAATGTTGGCATCAAACGGAAATATGCTGTGCGGTCATTTGTGTGACATAATTAGTGTATGACAAATTTAATTTTATGACATAATACATTTTCTTGATTTTTACTTTCATTAGACATTTTTTTAAAGCTGAAAAGATGCTTCGTGTAAAAAACATTATTATACCAAAGCATAAAAGATGTTTGACCCATATTAGGCTATGAAATATTGAAAAACATTTCCATTGCGATTAAGACTTCTTTCCTACAATTCTACGAACCGCTTCAAAAATATGTAGACTTCCACCACAAAAATAATTAATATTAAACACATTGTATGACCTATTAGAGTTGTTCCATTATATAATTATTAGATAATAATTATTAGATGTATAAAAAAAGTAAAAAATAAGATCGTATAACAATTATTAGAAATCTTCAACTCTACTAAAATCATCCAAAGTACTACAAACTTTTATCGTAAGATATCGAGCAACATGGTGGGACGGCGTGGCCTAGCGGTTTAGAGGTAAACTGCTAACACAATAAAATCTCGAGTTCGAATCCGAGTTCAAATAATTGGCGGCTGGGCATAGTGATGACAACACTATCCCTACATGTGCCTAGGTTTCTGTAGCAGATGAACTATATTTCATCTGCCCCATGTGTCTTGGCCACAAACGGGAAATGATGATGATTCGCAATATATTATGCATGATATCATTTGTCCTGCGAATTATTTTTTTTGTCAGCGAGTTCATTTATTCTATATATTTTGTTCTGAAACCCTTTTTTTCAGTGAGATATTTTGTCTCGCATATTTTGTCTGAGATAGTTTGTCCTGAGATAAATTATCTTTATTGCCATTAAAATATGTTGATAAAAAAACGAGATCGGTTTTAGAGAGGAGAGGGATGGGGGAAATCTTCGAAGGTGTTCTTTTATCGTCAAAATTGTTAATAGGATGAATTGGTTAGCTTCGAAGCTCTTTGATAGATCATTAAGGAATGCTTTAATAGATAGTGACTTGTCTACGGAAATCTTCAATGGATAGTGACTTGCAGAGGCGTAGCGACCCTTCCCGGGGCCCGGGGACAAACTTTCGATTTGCACCCCCCCCCCCTCTCAAACTTTCGATTTGCACCCCCCCCCCCCTCTCAAACTTTCGATTTGCATCCCCCGAAAACTTTCAATTTGTTTTTCCAACCCATTTTGGCGCCCCCTAAGGTCGGTGCCCGGGGACATATGACCCCCGCCCCCCCCCCCCTTCGCTACACCTCTGGTGACTTGTTTATGGAATGCTCTACTAAAGAAGTAACCACTTACCTGTAGAGAACTGCCAGGACGATGACCAGCAGCAGACCAAGACCACCAAGACATCCGCCCACTATACGCGGTAGTTGACCTACACAAACAACGGGTTGTAATGGCAAAAAGACGCGGTTTTCAAACTAACATTTAAACATAACTATCATAAAACTTATGTGATATATAAAATACCAAAACTGACATTTAAAACTGATTTTAATTTTTATATTTAAAATATTTTAAAATAAAATTTGTTCATTGTTGATCAAGAATTAGTATTGTCTACAGATTCAATAACATTCGTCATTAGCTAATAATTAATTTACATACATTGCAACTCTTCAGACTTATTCAGATAATAATAACCAAAGTATAAATACATATGTTGTAGGTTGTTAATTTTAAGTCAAGATAATTTTCATATTATTGTTTTTTTCCCCAAAATGCATTATCAGACTAATTTAGTTATGAAAGGATTATTGTTAAAATTAGTAATGAAATTGTGGATTGTATCCAGTTTTGGATGATATCCATGAATTACTCACTCGGTTCCTCTCGACACAGCTCACCAAAGTATCCACACGGGGGCTCATCCAGAGGGACTTTGTCCCCAAATACATCCACATCCATTACGTACGTCTGTGGATGAATGCGTGATATTAATGTGGGGAACGCAGAAAAGAAAGGCAGTGAAATAGTTGTGTAATAAATAATAATATAATTTTAAAATTTGATCATAAGACAACATTCTGCTTGATTGTACGTGATTTTAGTTGTGTGAACAACATAATGCTGTATCGACACAATTCAGACAACAAAATTGAAAATATATTAACTTTGTGGTTTAAATTTTTTTTAAAATCGTCGTTTAATCAATTAGGTTCTGATTTTGATTGATGAACTAATTAAAGATTTGTTTGAATGAGATGTAGCTCACACATTCTACTCTTTGAGCATATCCACTACAAGGGTTAAGGGAAATAACCTACCAATCTTTGTATATCAGCCCAACGTATCTTCTACAAGGGTACAGGGAAACAACTCACAGATCCACATATCAGTCCTACCTATCTAAACGGGTAAAGGGAAACAACTCACCACTCTTTTTATATCCGTACTACTTATTTACAAGGGTAAAGGGAAAGAACTCACCACTCTCTGCATATCAGCCCGGCTACGAGCGAACCTCCCCACCGGCTTGAGCCCCATGCCGTAGGTGTTGGCCATGGGCTGGAGGGCCAGGACGGTGTAGTTGCCTTCAGCGTCACCGTTGTTGTCTAGGTACACCTCGTAACCCTGGATACCTGTAGTAACAAGTCACGTGACTTAAGTGCTTGATTTGTAAAACACATAGAGCATTTAGTGAATATATGGCAGTGGCCTCAAAATAGTAGATATTATGTAGGGATTGGTAGGTATGATATATATATATATATATATATATATATATATATATATATATATATATATATATATATATGTATATATATATGGGATATAAAATTATTAGTACATAGTAAACGATTTAAATCTGAGAAATTACAGTTCTGTTTATATAGAAATATAGGAAATGGAGCCAAAAAATAAGTATAAACATCATGGAACGTACAGACTATAGATACCAACTTTTTATAGGCATTATGGATACACGCTAAGGATACAAACTAATGATATAGCAAGGAGTAGATTCAAACTGAATTGCTAGTAAATCAGGAACGATAACTCACTTGTGAAGGTCTGGTTACGTAGTTTGTTAAACACAGCAACTCCGTCCCTGGGTGACTTCCCCTCCTGCACTACACTGTGAACGGCTCTTGCATAAACCATGACAGAGTCGTAGAGATATGCCGCATATACAGGGATCTAGAGAGATATGCGATATACAGACATCTATAGAGATTTGCGATTTCCAGGGACCTATAGAGATGTGAGGTATATAAAGGGATCTATAGGGATATGCGATATACAAGGATCTATAGATATATGCGATATACAGGGATATATAGAGATATGCGATATACAGGGATCTAGAGAGATATGCGATATACAGGGATCTAGAGAGATATGCAATATACAGGGATTTAGAGAGATATGCCGCATATACAGGGCTCTAGAGAGATGTGAGGTATATACAGGGATCTATAGAGATATGCGATATACATGGATCTATAGAGATGTGAGGTATATACAGAGATCTATAGAGATATGAGTCATAATCAGGTCAGGGATCTACGGAGATTTTAGGCATTTACATATATTTATAGATATACGCGTCATATAAACAGGGATCTTTAGAGATTTGCGGCATATAAAGGGATCTCTAGAGATATGGGATCTGCATATACAGCGATCTATAGATATGTGGAGTATATAGGGATCTATAATGGTAGAATCTACTACATCTGTCCAGTGAATTATCAGGAATGACGCAAATACTTTCCTATTTTTTTCTTCAACACAAGCAGTTTTGTTACAACATTGAAATTAAAAAATAAAAAAGAACAAGAGGGATGAAAAGCAACACTCCACCCAACAAAACAACACTCCACCCAACAGAACAACACTCCACCCAAAGAACAACACTCCACCCAAAGAACAACAACACTCCACCCAACAAAACAACAACACTCCACCCAACAGAACAACACTCCACTCAACAGAACAACAACACTACACCCAACAGAAAAACAACACTCCACCCAACAGAACAACACTCCACCCAACAGAACAACACTCCACCCAACAGAACAACACTCCACCCAAAGAACAACACTCCACCCAAAGAACAACAACACTCCACCCAACAAAACAACAACACTCCGCCCAACAGAACAACACTCCACCCAACAGAACAACACTCCACCCAACAGAACAACACTCCACCCAACAGAACAACACTCCACCCAACAGAACAATAACACTCCACCCAACAGAACAACACTCCACCCAACAGAACAACACTCCACCCAACAAAACAACACTCCACCCAACAGAACAACAACACTCCACCCAACAGAACAACACTCCACCCAACAGAACAACAACACTCCACCCAACAGAACAACACTCCACCCAACATAGCAACAACACTACACCCAACAGAACAACAACACTCCACCCAACAGTACAACACTCCACCCAACAGAACAACACTCCACCCAACAGAACAACACTCCACCCAACACAACAATCCAACCAATAGAACAACACTCCACCCAACAGAACAACAACACTCCACCCAACAGAACAACACACCACCCAACACAACAACAACAATCCAACCAATAGAACAACACTCCACCCAACAGAACAACAACACTCCACCCAATAGAAAAACATAAACAAGATCTCAATTAGCTGTCTCGTAGTTTCAGCTAACACCTCCAATGCACTAAAGAACTTAATTTAATAATAGCAGTTGGATTAAAGCCCGTCAACCTTTTGGAATCAATGATGAAAAATTTACTAAGGGACTGCCACTTTTTGGCTTCCCTCGCCCCCCCCCCCACCACTACCACCCACCATCGCCATCCATTTGTTCATTGATACTTGAAAACAGGAAACGCTTTAAGTTGGAGTGATTTCAACTTGCTTTCTCTTGATCCATTCCGGAACTGCGCGCCTATTTTACACCTTGCTTATTTTGCAAGAATTCTTTTAACATTTCTTTTTTTAAGCAGAAAAAAAAAGAATTGTTCCTCTTAACGATTTTAGTTGACAGCCTGATACTGCGTCTTTGGCTGTCACTTTTTAGATGGAACGTCGGGAAAAAAAAGGATGGTGTTTTCATTCATTGAAAAGCGAGAGAAGTAGATCACTTCAAGGAAATCAAAAGCGAACCCGCCAATAAAACAACCTAAAAATACACACCAAGCACATAAAAAGGTATATCCCTTGTTTACAGCACACATACCGACACGCTACCAACCCATTTTTTTTAAAAGACCACTTGATTTCCCGCATATTTACCCAAACTTGCTATTATCCGTTAAAGGACGCCAAGAACCAACTTTAAAACACATTCACATGCGCCCAGAAAAACAAGTCCAGTTGTTTTGATAGTTCATCACAGAAAAACCAGCACAACCACACAACATACACAAAGGCCTAAAAGGCCCATTCACAAATGCCAACCTCATACAGAACAGCCTTCATATATTCACTTCACCTGCTCCAACGACAGCCCAATACCATAAAGAAAAACTCAGACAAAAGTCCAACCCTCCCTGCCAATGAAGACACTCTACCACTCACTCAAAGACCCACTCTAACAATATAACCTCCACCCACAAAAGACCCACTCCAACAAAAACCCCACTACAAAGACAATGAATTTCCTCCACAGAAAACACTCCCCACAATATACTACCCTCACAGAAGACCCACTCCCACAGAAGACCCACTCCAACACAAGACCCACCCCTAAAAGACCCACCCCCTAAAAGACCCACCCCCTAAAAGACCCACCAGAAGACCCATTCCCACGGAAAACCCACTCCCACAAAAAGACCCACTCCCAAAAAGAACCACTCCCAAAAAGACCCGCTCACTCACCGCCACTTTGATACTGAGCAACTCATCCAACTTGTTCCTTGTGAAATTAATGGGCGGCTTATACAAGTAGTCCCTTGCTGCCGACGAAAAGGCCGAGTAATTAGGGTTCATTACCGGCATGCTAATTAGCAGGAACACGCCTTTCCACACGTCAAGAGAAGCGTTGGATCTTTGGTTCTGAAACTCTCCACCTGCAAACAACAAAATGTAAATTGTCATTATAAGTAGCGATTGTTCAAAGTTTATGTTTGTCTGTGTATTTCCGATAGTTCTAGTCAAAGTTATCCTTGAGATAGGTTTTTGTTGATTTATTATGTCTGTTATATTGGCATTGTTACGTAAGATAGCTCAAGGGAATCGTGGATGGCTTAAACTTAAATTTATACATGTTTTATTAAAGAAATATGTGCGTTTACTAAATCAAGGCTAACAATCGGTTTAGAGATTTCATAGAATTAATAACAGATTGATAAAGGCAATCATTTATTTTCTCTTTTTGAGTCTTTGCTACTTAAACGCTTGTTATTAAAACGATTGTATGCACTTTTTCAGTACTCTAAAATTTTAATACAAAAAAAGTTTCATGACTAAACGCTAATGCGCATCAAATGAACATGAAAATGCGCGTATACATTGCTTTATTTAGAAAATTGTAATGAATTCATAGAAAATTAATTTGGCATCCAATTAAGTCAAATTTTATGTCAGATTGCATTGTCATCGGGTCTTCACCCACGTGCCAGGTTTGAAAAGAATCGGTAAGTTACAAGTGCTCAAAATTTAGCTCGGCAGTTTCGATCTACGACGGACGACAGGGGAAGTAAGTTAAATAAAAGCTTGCAAAGTCTGGTTATCTGTTACTTGTTACGTAAAAAGTAATAACGCCCCCGGAAATGACGTCTACCGAACAACATAAAATCTTTTTTATAGCGCCCAATAAATGCCGCAGTTGTCTTGTTGAGTAAACGGGACTTAATGTACCTCCGGGTTAAAATGCCAACAGATCCAAAAATACAGGTTAAGCTATAGTCAGTGAACCATTACACCAAAGGTTCACCGGAGGATATGTAAATAAGGAACTGATGCACTCGACCGTGTCGATTCAATTAGTTGTATCTGAATGTAAGGCGAACAGCACAAGTGAAAGTTGTGTATGTAATGTATATTTTCAGTATGTAAAATTTAATATACGGATGCATTGGTTGATTGTGCTCCTGCAAAATAAAAAAAAATGTAAATGAATAAAAAGAACATACACACGCAAATACAACCTTGACTTATTTGCATCGGGAATAAATATAAACATTATAAAAATAAACACCCGTATACACTCAAACATAACTTAAATTCCTTACTCTCCGTAAACGGACTGAAATGTTTTTAAGTTTATGGTGTTATATAAAATTCGTGTGAAATTGTTTATATTTGTTATGTTGTGTGCATACTACATTGGGATGTGTATGAATGCTAGATGCATACTACAGTGAACTCTAGTATATCGAAGCTAACACATTCTAAGCTCATGGGGGAAACTATCTCAAGGGTCGAGGGGGGGGGGATTATACGTGGGTGGGAGGGGGGAAACTATCCCAAAGGGTCGGGCGGGGTTAGGTTGATACGTGGGTGGGGGAAACTATCACTAGGGTCGCGGGAGGGGGGGTTATACGTGGGTGGGGCGGGGGCTATCACTAGGGTCGGGCGGGGTTGGGTTTATACGTGGGTTGCGTGAAATATCCCAGCAGTGATCTGATAAAGTACATGAGAAGTGCACACGGGCGTGGCGTCATGTTCACGAATACCATTGTTTGGGGTAGATGAACTACAGCGTTACCAGAGTTGCACTGTGTAAACACAACATAGGCTATATTATGATCTTACCGTAAAGAAAGCTGAAGTTATTTTTTTTCTTTAAAAGTGGATTGTGAGAAAAGTGGTTTGCTGATTTGTTGTGTCAACATGATTAAAATGTCTTTTTGTCAGTCTGTCGGTCAATGACACTAGCGCTGTCAGTCAATGACACTGTATTGTCAGTCAATGACACTGTATTGTCAGTCAATGACACTGGCGTTGTCAGTCAATGACACTGTATTGTCAGTCAATGACACTGTATTGTCAGTCAATGACACTGGCGTTGTCAGTCAATGACACTGTATTGTCAGTCAATGACACTGGCGTTGTCAGTCAATGGCACTGTATTGTCAGTCAATGACACTGGCGTTGTCAGTCAATGACTTTGTATTGTCAGTCAATGACACTGGCGTTGTCATACAATGACACTGTATTGTCAGTCAATGACACTGGCGTTGTCAGTCAATGACACTGTATTGTCAGTCAATGACACTAGCACTGTCAGTCAATGACTTTGTATTGTCAGTCAATGACACTGTATTGTCAGTCAATGACACTGTATTGTCAGTCAATGACACTGGCGTTGTCAGTCAATGGCACTGTATTGTCAGTCAATGACACTGGCGTTGTAAGTCAATGACTTTGTATTGTCAGTCAATGACACTGGCGTTGTCATACAATGACACTGTATTGTCAGTCAATGACACTGGCGTTGTCAGTCAATGACACTGTATTGTCAGTCAATGACACTAGCACTGTCAGTCAATGAGACTAGGGTTATCAAAGAATTACATAAGCGCAGCGTGAATGTAATTGTAAAAGTTGAAACCTAAATCTTAACAACGAAACAAAACTGGAACTATTCTTATCAAATGTGTAGTGACTGGAGATAAGGTGATAGAGAAAAAATACAATCCCAGGACTATTATCCAGATTTTTTTCTTTTAAAATATCCCAGTTTAGAAATCCCTAACTATATTGAGTGCACACACAATCATAATTTCATGTCAACTGAACATTTTTTGTAAACAGTTTGCTTACGACCAATTTTAATTCAATTTGTTTTCAAATTACAATACACATATTTTACCCGGAAATTTAAATTATTTAAAACTGCCCTTTTTGCGCAAGATTTAACAGTTTTTAGTTATGAAAGAACATGCATATCACTTCTCATTTACATATTATTAGTTCAAAAGTGAATAAAAATTACAATGTGTGAGTATGCAATGAACAATCAGATATTCAAATCACCCTCCGACTGACCATTATCTTGACCTAATCGACCCCACACTGTGATCGATAAAATATTCCAATCACCCTCTAAATGACACATCTCTAGTGCTAATGGTTGTCGGTATTTCAACTAGGGCTGTCATATTTTTTTATCGATTTACTGGTAATCTGTTAGACACTGGGAGATATTGATTTTACAGGTAATTTTTATATTGTTGGCCGCTTTTAATCAAGTCAGGTTAATCCTAATCTCTGCTGGATTAGCTTGTTTAAGCTGATGTCAGCATAAATGTATTTTTACACTCGGATGGAAAAAAATAGTTGACACCATTATCGGCCTGTCTCCAAGACCCCTACCTTCGTCATATCTATGTGAACCCCCCCCCCCCCCCCTCGTCGACGTCCAGTTCGACCGCTCACACTCAGGATACATGAACCATATTCTCATTCTGTCCATACACGTCCACGCTATATGACCACCGTATTGTATTCTATATGACCGCCCTTTCTCGTCCAGTTTGACCCCTCCCCCCCCTCGTTCAGCTATATGACCGACATCATCGCCCAGTCATTCCTTTTGACCATCTTGGTCCACGCTAAATATATATACTAAATCAATTTTCTTATATAAAATATTCCACGAAACAGCCCCCTCTTACTTATCAGATCTATTTTCTTTTAACATAAAATTAAATCGTCGTCTTAATTTACCATTCCCTTATTCAACCTTTTTCCAAAAGCATAGCTTCGCCTACTCTGGTTCTAATTTGTGGAACAATCTTCCTAATAAAATAAAGCTATCTAGATCTGAAAATATATTCAAATCTAAACTAAAACTAAAATTATTTAATGACCTAACTGACTCATTGTAACATTTCTCATTCATCTATTATATTCTCTTTTTTATCTCATTATGTATGATAGCTATGTACAATTGTTTCTTTATTCCACGTTTTCAGTGCTATGTGTTACTGCTATGTGTTATTGAATTGCTTTATTTGTTTAAACGGCCAATGTGAAAAAAGGCCTTTGTGCCTACAATTGTAACCGTTGTTTGAATAAATTTGAATTTGAATAAATTTACCTTTGTCCAGCTAATATGACCCCCTTCTCCGTTCAGCTTGAGTCCCCTTTCTGTCCTATCTCGTCCAATCCCATATAACCCCACACCTTCGTGCAATGAGTATAACTCCCCCCCCCCCTCCATCCTCGTCCAGTCTGAATACCCCCCCCCCCACATACACACATCCTGGTTGTGACATTTGACACACGTACTTGTTCAAACTATATGACTTACATCTTCGTCCAGGCGATTTGACCCACCCGTCTCGTCCAGTTTATATGCACCCCCCACTACCCCGATATCCAAGCCCAATGACCCGCCCCTTCCACAAGTCCATTTTAAATCACCCTTATGTATTCCCGTTTCTAAAGACCTCCCACTGACATCTGTGTAAAATTTATGATCCCCACCGTTCAACAATTAACTATGTCTAATTAAAAATCTAATTAAAACAAATTTTTTTTTCGTATATTTAGCACAAATGACCCAGTGAACCCATGTTTCGCTTGTCTGGTCTGTCTTGTCTAGTCTGTCTTGTCTAGTCTGTCTTGTCTAGTCTGTCTTGTCTAGTCTGTCTTGTCTAGTCTGTATTTCAATCCCACCCTCCACCCCAATTTGTCAACATGATGTATTATGAGTTATAACCACCCCACCCCTTAACTCCTATCAGAATCCCTCGATATCGACAAAATTCTAGTCAATAGATTTTAATTAATTAATTGATCCGATGATGCTAATCAAACATTAAAAACAAACAGAAACTGGAATTATATAAACAATCACTTCCGATTAATGGAAAACTATTCAACAATGACTTTATTTTTTATGACTGATTGGGTTTTAAGTCAAATATAGTACAACTTTAACATTAAGGTTTAACTAATTTATTTTTAAGCTAAAAGATTTTATACTTGATTGAAATGACAAAAACAGATGTTGTCTTTAATTTCACGCAATTAAACTAGAGAACTGTTTTCATTTTGTCAAACGTAAACAATGCTATTTTAGGCAACTGACCAATCAGAAAGTGATTTGTAGGTGTGAATAACATCAGCTCTTGTAACAGATGTATTGATTGGTGGGTGAGATAAACTCACCTTTTAACCTAGATGTATTGCTTGTTTACATTTGAAACCACGTGACTTGAGCAAGAGCTAATCTTGTTATAATGATTTAATTACTTTTTTTCCATTGTACTTTTGTATCGGTTAAATACAAGTTGGAGGGAATAGTGTGTTTACAATAAGGAAATATATATTTAGATATTTAGTTAATGAATGAATCAACAACCTCATTAACCAACAACACCCTCATTAACCAACACCCGCATTAATCCAATATACATGTGATGACGCTAGTTTAGGTCGAGTAGATAGAGGTTAGCAGAAACAGACTATAGATAGTTGGGTAGAGAGACCAATGGACGTACAGGAGCTGACCGGTCACGTGGGACGGTCAGCTGACCACTGAGGCGTGCAGTAGCGTAGATAGGATTGTCTCATGGGGTGGGGGGGGTTCAAATTTTTACCCGGGGACAAACTTTCGATTTGCACCCCCCCCCTCAAACTTTCGATTTACACCCCCTCATACTTTATATATACCGAGGGGTCTATGGGGGGTTATGACGAGATGTGTAGGGCTAGGTAACAGTTGATAATAAGCAAGAGAGTGGTCAGAGTAAGGTAGAGAATGGACACCAGCGAGAAAAGTCTCAAAGGTATTTGAGAGGTGTATAAATTAATTTAAAAATCTTGCACAGCGTAGTTACAATTAATATGGTTATAAAATCCTGTATGTCTGGTTTTTTTCGGACTTTACTAAAGATTGGATGTATTTGATGTTTATAATATTTTCGGTAACTAAATAAAAATTAAAAAAAAAGCAAAAACAATTTGGTTTTCACGTGTAATGGCGACATAAACAATGGCATCCTGTTATTCGATAGGCCGCCATTGATTTTATTGTACACATTGTAAACTAAAAATAGAAAACAAGGTCATGGGGTTTTAAATTTGCATTGTTATTTAAAAACTTGATCTGCAAAGTTTTGTAAACAAATAGTTATCGATCACTAAGTTACTGTACAGCCAATCAATATTTGTCTTACGAAAGTGAAACATCCGGTTATAACTTAGGCTTGATGAAAATAAATAGAAATGTAGCCTTAAACTCAACAAATTATTTTTAAGTTCTCTGGATTTGCAACTTTTAATACTTTTATAGCATTTATTCTAAAAATATAAAATTTCTAAATTAATTTAAGCTTAAGTTTTTATTTTTTATTTTTTTTACAGTCTAGATCTAAAAAGGACGTTTTTATTCCTTGTCAACAACATTATGGAAGGAATCTCGTCAACTCGCTCGCCTCCATTAAAGGTAGATCGTGAAGTAGAAACGGTCAGACAGGTAGATCTAGGAAACGGTAGACAGTAGTAGTAGAGAGTATAGAATAGGCTAGTTAAGTAGGGAATTAATTTGATTGTCTAATAAAGAACATTTATCTTTTGGATTGGACTTGTGTGTGTTAATTCCAAACTATAACCAGGCTGGTATTATCTTCATCACCCCCCCCCCCTTCCTCACACATCTGGGTGGTTCTTGTTTATACCCTCTCACAATACTCATTAACCCAACATCCTAATTAACAAAACTCCTTCATTAGTCCAACACCCTCACTAAATCTTCACACTTATTCGCCCAACACCACCATAAACCCCACCATAATCCCCACACTAACCACACCAACGCTAACACAAACCTACTTACTTGGGAACATCAGCGAGACGCTTAGCGTGTCGTTGAAGGGCATGTCGTCCCTGACGCCGATGACGACATACTCGCCTGTGTCCGTCAGACCAGCGGTCTTCAGTTGTGTGATGAAGTCATAGAACATGTTGGTTCGTGAGAACACGACATAAACTGTGGACATTTGAAGTTGGACATTTGAAGTAGACATTTAAAGTTGGACATTTGAAGTTGGACATTTGAAGTAGACATTTAAAGTTGGACATTTACAGTTGGACATTTTAAGTTGAACATTTAAAGTTGGACATTTAAAGTTGGACATTTAAAGTTGGACATTCAAAGTTGGACATGCAAAGTTGGACATTCAGATTTAGACATTCAGATTTAGACATTCAGATTTAGACATTCAGATTTAGACATTTTAGGCTGGACATTTTAAGTTGGACATTAGCAGTTGGACTTTTAAAGTTGGATATTTGGAGTCGGACATTTAAAGTTGGACATTTAAAATTGGATATTTAATGTTGGACATTTAAAGTTGAACATTTAAAGATAGACGTCTACGTTGGTCATTAGGAGTTAGACATTTGGAGTTGGACATTTGAGTTTGGACGTTTGAATTTGACATTCAAAGTGAGATACGTAAAGCTGACATTTGATATCGTACATTTAATTTTGGACATTTAAATACGAACGTTAAAGTTGGATTTGTAGGAGAGCAGTAAAAGCTGGATATTTAAAGTAGAACAATTATGTTGGTCGTTTGAATCTGGGCATTTCAAGTTATTTTTTGAATTCATTACATCTTTAATCGTTTATTTTAAGTAGGACATTTATCAAAAATACCTATGAAGTGGGACATTTGAAAGTATACAATTTTTTGAACAGAACATTTGATAAATTTGAAATTTAAATGTTTAACATTGTTAGTGTTTGGTTTGCAGTATTCAGTTAATAGACATAGAAAACATATCTCTTTTGACATCGCGATGTAATCAGTTATTTGATAACCTAAAATTATAGGCCTTAACAAATCAGAATTTGAAATTAATCAACGTTGCCACTGTCTGCAAAAAATGACCTTGATCGATCACCGATCACACCTGATCTGCCAGCCAGACGACCGAAGCACGAACACGTGACAGGGACGATAACGTTATCGCCTGGCAGCCAGCCAATGAAATCACAGCTCACATACACCAGTTACCAGGGTACCGGCTTATTTTATTCTTTTATATCAATTTACAACATAATTTTATATTATCTATTGGGAGGAGTTATCGGGTAATGAGTTTCATTATGTAGTCAATTGTTTAAACAGTGACACCACTTTACTTCTAGATTATGATTTAAATTAGCATCATTACAAGAAATGCGATTATGCAATACACGCAATTGCACTGTTTTTACTGTTTAGTGGGGTGCAAGTCCGTATAAAAAAAATGTTTTTTGTATTTTAGTTCTAAAACCACGACAATGCAGTAGCGTAGCGAGGGGGGGGGGGTCGGGGGGGACATATGTCCCCGGGCGCCGAGCTTAGGGGACGCCAAAATGGGTTGGAAAAATAAATTGAAAGTTTGAGGGGGGTGCAAATCAAAATCTCGAGGGGGGGTGCAAATCGAAAGTTTGAGGGGGGGGGGGTGCAAATCGAAAAGTTTGTCCCCGGGCGCCGGGAAGGGTCGCTACGCCTCTGCGACAATGCTAGCTGGTGTACTATCTTTAGTTATAAATACATTCTCAGTAGACTTTCACTTCGATAGATGGAAAGTAGTTTTTCATTTCAGTCCTAAATTGCGGAGTAAAATGTTTAGTTACCATGGATTTGAGAAAAGTCTCTCTTCTATAGATAGGGATGGGAGGGGGAGACCCGAGAGAGGTATAACCTTACGAAACAAATTTCAATTTTATAATGCTGAAGTTCTATATAGCTGAAGTACAGTGATTAGCAACAAAGAATTAAGGCCAAGTCTCACTTCTGGTCGTGTCTTTAGTGGCGTCCAGCGCGTTCTTCAGTTCCTGGGATGAAGACTGCTGGAACAAATTGTAGGGGCCGGTGATGTTGACGAAGTGGCTGACGGTCAGGTTCTTCCTCTCGGCGATATCCTGAAGATCTAGACCAGCTCTGGGCATCAACCCGTCCTGAAAATATTCAAGGTTAGCAATGTGTTCAGTGGTCTAGTGGACAATACATAGTTTCTTTGGGTGTTGCGGTTTCAACAATATCAACACAAAATTACAGTATGCAATATCCATGGACATGGAAGGGCGTGGCCTAAGTGATGAAAAGCTAGACTGGTAACCCGACGCTCTCGAGTTCTAATCCGGGTCCTATTCAGTAGAACGTCCACAAGTCCACCCACCTCTGATGGGTACATCACTCATGTTAGTGAAAGAAAAGGCGGCTGGGCATAGTGCTGACCACATCTTCCCTTCACATACCGAGGTCGAGAAACATATGAACTCTACGTCATCTGCCCGTTGGATCGCTAGGTATTAAGTAGGTTATTTCCTTTGTAAAAAGTAACTATCGTTTTTCACACAAAGGTATAACGCACACACACACACACACACACACACATATATATATATATATATATATATATATATATATATATATATATATATATATATATATATATATATATATATATACATATATATATATATATATATATATACAAGCAAGTTTGTGTGCGTGAGCATGTGTGTCTTTGAGAAAGAAAATATTTTATTGCGTTAGATTGTAGATATATATATATATATATATATATATATATATATATATATATATATATATATATATATATATATATATATATATATATATATTGTGAGGTTTAAAGATCATGTATCTATCAAGGGCCGCTACCTTCTCTACGATGATGGAGAACTTTGTCCAGTTGAATCTCTGTATGAAGGCCAGGACGGACCGGACCGAGTGGGACGCTGGGGGCTGTGTTCTCGCCAACGTGGGGAAGCGAGACTTGTCCGAGACTACGGGATCGTCACATTTCTGGGCAGACGAGAGATAAACAAGTTATTGATTAGTTGTGTTATTGACGTGGACGGCATTACGTCATGGGATGGAGCTAATCTCTTATCTTTTTCGGTCAAGCTTTGTGTACATTGAAGGCGAGGTGTGGTGTTAAAACGCACGACAGCTGACCTGAAAGTCTTGAGTTCGGATCCCGGGTTCGAGACCCAAGGCTACCTATCTCTCATTGGTATCTGTTTCACTTTAGGGAAAGTAAAAACGGTTGGGGATAGTGCTGACTACACTATACATGTATAAGCCAAGGTCACATATTCAGATTAACAGATTAACTCTACTTCATCTGGACTATAGCTTGCCAGGTCCGAATAGTTATTTTACATTGTGGTTAGCTGTTTTGTCCTTTTCCTTAGGTCCATCACTGTTCCAAGGGGGGGGGGGGGGTCTGATTCATTGGCAACATCTGCATATTCTAATTTAACTACCCAGTCTTTGAGCTTGGATTTCATATGCGCAATTATTCAATAGTTTATTAGACTGCGAAGCCATACTACTAATAACTGTTTATACCTATATCGCTATGTTTATCTTATACACTGAAAAATTGGAAGTATTTGCAATAAATATGTTAATTTTACAGTTGTGAACGTGAATACATTTACATTTTTAGAAGAGTTTTTTGCATTTCTACAAAAACATGTTACAGGGAGGGAATATTATTTTGAAAAACACGGAATGTGTTGTGATGAAGTCAGCCAAGTATAAAATGCAACAGACCTTTGTATACATTAATAGAGTGTGTTTTTAGATATTTTTTTTATCATATAGCGTGTGTATTTTAAATATTTTCTTATTATTCAACTACATTTCCCAAAATAAAACAATGTTTTTATATTAAAATTTATTAAAAAATTAAAATTAAATTTATATTAAAATTTATTAGATTTTAGTTTAATTAAATTGTGACTTAACTAGTAATTAAGTAAAAACATGATTAGATTATATATTTCTTTATCCGATTCTAAAAACATTTTTTTATTTACATCACTTAAACAAAGTTGAGGTAAACAACCTATTAAACTTCAGGTAGTTTCCAGGTAATTTCCAGGTAATTTGCCACACTTTCTCCTTGCATCCTCACAGGTCGCGTACATTTCAAATCGATACAAAAGAAACGTATTGCGTTTTATCGGCGCCGCGATAATTACTGGACCATGAGTCGCTGTTGATGCAATGCCGCGAATCTTGTAGGTGATAACGTAAACAACAAGGTCAGGTAATTGTGTGACGAAGGCTGGGGGTTAATGACAATTAGGACAGGAAAAAAACAATCTAGTTTATTTTATTCTATACAATGCTTTCAGAAGCATCATTTTCCACACCAATAAACTTAAAACATAATACTGTGATGAACAAAGTTAGAGAAGATACAGAAATAGGTAATGACAGACTAGAGAAAGAAAACTGTTGGTCAGTTAGGGCATTAGTCAAGTAGAATCACGTGTGACCAGTGTTTCTTCCAGACTTTTTTCTCCGGGGGGGGGGGGGCACTTGAAATTTTCGGGGGGGGGGGGGGGCGGGACACTGTTAAAAGTATATATTTTCTATATAAATTATATAAATTTAATTTCGTTCGGGAGGGGGGGGGGGGGGGGGGGCGGTAAAAGAAGAAACTCTGCGTGTGACGATCAGCTGACCAAAGCGTTAGGAGTTGGCTTGAGTTAGCGTCTCTAGTCAAATATAGTAGAGTTCAGCGGTTTAGAGTGTTAGGAGATAGTCGAATGTTAGGAAGCAATTAGAGTTAAAGCACAGATAGGAATACCTAGATGTGTGCACATTATATATATGTGTATATTTATATATATATATATATATATATATATATATATATATATGTGTGTGTGTGTGTGTGAGAGAGAGAGAGAGAGAGAAAAATGTATATTCCTTGTCGTGTTTTAAATTGGAGGAATCCTACATGCCTTAACAAAGTTAAGTGAATAAAGTCGAACATCGCATAAGACATAGTTCTATTTATATTCATATATAAAACCCACTACCCCCCCACCCCCCCCCCCCCCCCCCAACCCTTATATATAGCGCAGTGGATGTTCCGGTCCAAGTATTCGTCGGTAAAAAGAAAATACACCAGCATTTTGAGTTTTAAATTCCACATTTAAAAATTATAGGACCAAGATACATAGTGACTAGTATGATCTATTTTTAGCGTGTTCGTGACAACGGCGTGACGTCTTTGATTACTTCAACGTGGACACATCGTGGCCTGTCACGGATCACGTTGAGAACGTCTGACGCGACCAACAGTCCCCGGCAGCGTCTGAGGCTATCTGCTGCAAACAGTCAAATGTGATTTCAATTTCCGCTCATGGGAAGTGCAAACCTGGCGCCGTGGTGTGATCAGATGTTGTGTCGAATTTAAACCTCAGTCGGCATCACCATCTCCCTCCCCTCCGCCCACCACACTCATTCCTGACCTAGTCAAATACAACATTATCTTCCATTCTACCACCATACTCTTCTGCAATACTTCACCCCCTTAAAACCTACCCCTCCGCATTCATCCCCCCCCCCCGATCACTAAAACGCCACCGTCAACAACCATCACTTATTCACTAACATTTTATTTTTTAACATTTACATTTTTTGTCTCTCCTACCCCCCCCCCCCCCCAATTCCCCCACCAATTATACATTCCCCAACACAAATTACATCATAACTTTGAATTCTCCTCCCTCTAAACCCACCCCTTCTCCCCCATCACCGTAACCACCACCGTCAACCCCATCACTTATTCAACAATATTTTTAACATTTAAACTATTTCTTCTAACCCCCTCCCACACCCAACATTTCCCGACTTAACTCTGAATCCCCCACCCCCCCCTAAACTCACCCGTTCTCCCCATCACCATAACCACCCACCGTCTCCCCCCCCCCCCCCCCCCACCACTTACAAATTAAAACTCTTGTCTTCCCCTGAACAACCCCCCTCCCCTCTCCAGCCACACCTTATAAACAGTGACGTGACTTGCATAACAAACATACAAACAGTTTTAGTAGGACTTACAAACATTCGGACGTATCAGGAGACACACAAGATGTTTCTTATGTATGGTATTTAAAGATGTGGGACAGCGTGGTTGGTTGGTAGAGCTCTAAACTGCCAACTAGAAAGTCTGAGTTCTTGACTTACGTTAGGGAAACAAAGGCGGGTGGGCAAAGAACTATCTCCCGTATGCTGTTATATTTGGAACAGATTAACTCCACTTCATCTGCCCAAGTTTTCTTGGTTTTGGTCAGGAAAGGAAAAAGATGATGATGGCATTTAATTTAAATATTCCACCCATGATACTAAATGATAAAAAAAGCAATCATTAGTTGTTTTTTTTTTGTTTCGCTATTCGTTGAACATTTTGTTTTTAATTTTTTTATAGTTTCCGCATCATTGAACACTTGATACTTACTAGCAAAAAATCAGATGGATTTAGGTAAAACCTTTAACATAATATAACAATATCTTATATTTTATTTCAGCTAAAAAAGCAAAACCTAATTAAGTTAAACTTTAATAATTTTACATTTATTTCAACCAAAAATTTTTGAATTAGCAAGTTATTAATGGCTTCTATAATTGGCTATCAATTAAACTATCACATCGATTAGCCTAAAATATATGCCTGACCGCACTTCGATTAAGTGATAGCAATCAAATTCG